ACTGATGATGTGTCGGTTTTAGTATGTGGTGAGACGTGGTTTTCCCTTTCTTCCCCTTCCAACGTCGACATGCTTTAGGATTTGGGATAAGTTCTTTAAATAGATTAAGAGTTTTTAAGTCCAATAAACAATCGAAAACGAATAGTTTGTTATTTTTTAGTTGTCTATTATGTCTTGGAGCTAAAATTACATTACAAAAAGTTTATCAATTTGCAAAACAAACAAAAATTACCGCTGCATTGATAAATGAACATAGCAAGAATATTTCATCGCTAATTATTTCCATCTCAACATTTTGATGAGATAAAAGGCGTAAATTCGTTTATAATACATTGACGAGTTAGGCTATATATTGCCACAAAATTAGGTAATTAAGAGTCTATATTTTCGTTAACCTATCAGAATAACTACATAAATGTTTTGCCAGACATGATCATTACTCAATGAATATAGACCATATTACATTCTAGAGAAATTCTACTATTTGTAAGAATTTGGACCTTTGTTGTACCTGCCAAAAAAAAGAATTTGGTGGAAACTAGGTGGTAGACCACACTTTCCTCAAATGGTGAAGCCAAAATGGTTAGTGTATGCCCAAAATGGTTAGTGTATGAGATATGTGTCGTAATATCTTTGGTTCTTTGGCAATTAAGGAATGTCCATCTATATTGAAATTGTCTTAAAATAGAAAAGGCAAACCGTCTCCGATCATTTCAATAAATTTTGCTCGAAGTGTCTGTAATTTATTTCAGTGTTACTTTCTTCTCTTTGGTGTCATTGTTATATGCATAGCGGCGCTGGAATTTCAAATGTTTTTTTTTTGTTTAATGGAAATTCAAATATTAGGTTATATATAGCTAGCTCAACAAAAATAATGGTCAAGGTGAACCTCAATTTTGAGTTTTTTTTTTTTTCCATTTTCATTGTCAAATATTTTAAGGCGAAAACAAAAAAAAATGTTATTATTTTTAGAATACTAAAATGCAATATATAATATATACACATACATATTGTTGCCAAAAAGAACCATCTTAATAGCTAAAAAAATGATGGGAAACAAAATAATAGTAAAACGCCGTGATCGTTTTTGCTTGTAAGTATATTCACTTCTATTGGTCCATTGCATGCACATACGATCCACGTTCGTCCAACGGTCGATTCAGTATTTTAAATTTTGGAACGAGTTTTTGTTTGATCCTATATTACCACCAAAAAAGTATCATGTTTTTATATCCGTACTGTATTAGAAATAATTTTCTAAGATATGACCAAATGTGAATTCGTTATTTTCTAAATTATAAGATCAAATTTTGCATATAATATTTTCCAATGGATGTAGCTCGATTGCTACACTTTTATAAAAGTCTTGAAATAAACCATTTATCTGTAATAGGGTGAAGTGATCGCCCTTAGTAAGTTAGTATAAATCAACGATTCTATAAAGAAAATCAAATTTATAAAAGAATATGCAAATTACGTGATTTTACTGTTTTCACATATCGATAGACGTACTCCAACCGATATTTGGATTTTTTTTTATTGTAGTTTTTTTTGGATCGTATACAAAATAATAATTTTAAAGAGTCGGTATATAAAAGCGAGAGTTATTCGCATCATATTAAAGCATTAAAAAGTCATCATGTGTTTCACATGTTTATAAATTTTGTAGGTGGGAATATTATATTTTGGCTTTCCTATCGTCCATAAATTAATTTGAACCATATATGATATATCAGTATATCACCTTATCAAGTTTCCTAAAATGAAGATTAAATTTTATGAAGTTATTCGAACAGATTGATACATTTTGGGGTTATTGGGAGATGGATTGTAAAAAAATTGTTATAATGTTTGCTAATAAGTGTGCACATTGGTTTGTATGTTTGTTAATTGATTATATAATATATGAAAAAGATACATGTATATATTTTCTATAAAAAATATTTAACAAAAAAAAACAAAGTATTGCAGTTGTAAGGTATGATAAAATGCTACAACCTACAACGTAATCATTGGTGTGTAGAACCGTTGTACCGCTAACGAATCGTCCTAATGCAAATGGTGACAGTTTGTACGTACGTACTGCATGAACACGAGTAGTGTTCACAGTCAAAACCTTGGTGATACGATTACTCGTATCTATCTTGTTTATATATACACGTACATTTCTGCCCATACAGTCAAAACCTTGGTGGTACGATTAGTCGATTACATCTTGTTTATATACACGTACATTCATGCGCATGAGTCATCTTTTGTTGTTTGTTTCCTAATCCACTGACTCACACGAGGATTCGAACTTAGATGAACTATGGTTATTAGTATAAAGTTAGTTGTGCTAAATAGCCTAAATTTAAGTAAAAAGTTCTATAAAAATATTGGATTTTAGATCTAAAAGACCTCTAAATTCATTAAATGTTACTCCCTCCGTTTCGTTTTAGTTGTCATTATAGTTTTTTTTTTTTTAAAACAATTCTTGTCGTTTGGGTTTTTAATGTAGATTTATAATAATTTTTCTAGTTTTATTTCTAATTTTTTAGTTGATTAATTACTCATATTAAACAAAATAGTTTATTGATCATCCTCTACCTATTAATTGAGAATGTAGTTTAATGAAAAATACTGATTTATTTTAATTTGATTGGTTAATATGTTTAGTTTGAGCAATTTTAATGTGACATGGAAATAATGATGTGTAATGATGATGTAATTATGACATATCAGTTTTTAGTACACATGGCTTGTGACATGACATTATTTAACCTATAAATAAAATTTGATGTTAAAATTTTGTTGAAAAATTAAAATATTTAGAAAAATTATATTTTTATCAAATAGATTTGAAATTATATTTCGACACAAAAATTTTGCTAAAAAAATTTACGCATTTCAAATATTTAGCAGAAAATTTGTGACAACCTATTTAGCCATAAACTTTTTGATATCTCACGAAATCAAATTAAAATACTCTAAAATAAATATTTTTGGTGGGAAAGTTACAAATTCATGTTTTTGGCGAAAAAAATTTGAAATCAGATTTTCATGAAAGTTTTTTGAAATTATACTTTTAAATAAGGTTTTTTGATGGAAGAGTTACGGTTTCACTTATATAGCAGAAAATTCATTAAATAAAAATTTTGACTGGTAGTTTTTAGAATCACATTTTTAATGTAAAGTTTTGGCGAATTGGTTTTTATGAATTTACTTTTTGGCAAAAAATTCACAAAATCGAAATTATGATAAAGTGTTTTTCGATCATATTTTTGACGTAATTTTTTGGGTGTGAAAGTTACCTATTCATGTTTTTGGCATGAAATTTGTGAAATCTGTTTTTTGATAGAAATTTTTGAAATCTTATTTTAAATAAGTTTTTAGCAAAATATTTATAAGTTCAATTGTTTGTTGTGTGAAATTTTGCGGCATCAAATTTTTAGAAGGAGAATTTTTTCACTTTTATTATCATCTTATTTTGTCTCACTATAAATAAAGATCAAAAATTTATATTATATGTGAATGTATTTCAATTATATAGTGAGAATTACGAACTAGAAATAGGACGTAAAGTGACGGAAAAAATATAAAAAGATGAAAATATAAATAAAAAGTAGAAAACAACGAATAACGAAGAATCATTTATTTTATTTTACAATTTTTTAAAAAATATTTTAAATTTTGTATATGTTTTATTTTTTACTATGACTCAATTTTTCAAATCTATTAAAACATTTTTTTACAAACAATTTTTTTTAACAAATATATTATCAAAACAGGCCAATAACTTATTTATTATTACTGATATATATTATTAATAATTAATTTTTTATAAAAATTTTATGTGCAGGCTAACTACCTAGTTAGAAATAAAACAGAACATTTTGTTGTTTTCTTGATTTGTGTGAACAACGTATAATGACAACTAAAAAAATGGAAAGAGTAAAACTTTTGTATTTCATGTATTTTATTTATTTATTAGTACTATCCTGAATATCTATGAAATGGTGACATAGGTGCATTCATTGTGAAATAGGATGCTAATGTTATTTGTGTTTTCCAAATGCCGTAAACGTACAATCTTTGAGGCAACCAATCACCTCAACCATTTTTTCTATGAACTGTGACTAAAGGTTTGGATCAAACCCTAAACCATCAAATATTTAAGCTATGAATAGAGATATGCTGTTTTCGCAGTTAAGAGCTGCAACAATCACATTTTGTCTTCTTCTTCTTTTTTTCTTTTTTGTTAAAGGCACATATACATTTACTTCTACTTTACAGTAATCATTTTCTTAAATTTATAAATATGTATGTAAAAATTTTACCATGTTCAATTAGTTTTGTTGATTTAAACACTCATATGAGCAATTTTTTCTTTCACTTTCCAAAATACTAAATATTTTTTTTCTTAAGGATTTAAAATTTGCTAGTTATTTACTTAATTATACCATTGTAAAATAGACGTCCAAACTTTGTTTCGTTAGTTCTACTACTTTGATTGTTATGCAGTAACCATAATTGTTTTGTTTGTTCTGATCGTTTTGATTATTTAATACCGAGTCTTCTTCTATCAAATTTAAAATATTAATTATCAGCAAGTCGTCAACTTCGAAACATATCTCATCCACACCTTGTCCACATAAGTACTTTGCGGTAATATTAAATAGCATGTGATATAATGAATGTGAACCTTTTATCAAGACAAGTCGATGCATTGTAATTGTATATTATTTGTCTCCATATAACATACGGAATACGACAATATCTATTCTAAGTTCTTTTTTTCCTCAACCATTTCTCATCTATTTAAGTATTTTTATGTATGAATGTCAAAATCGTGTTTTTAAAAAAGGATGTCAAACTCATGTAGCCAATATTTATATATATATATATATATATATATTTTAAAAAGTTTCTTTTTGAGATATTACTATTAAGAAGCGTATGAGCTAGGGTATATACCCCACCGTCCAATATTCTATATATATCTGCAAAGAACATTCAGACCAAACACAACGAGAAAGAGATTCATCTTTCAATTCTTTTTAAACGAAACTTTGTGTGTTGGGCAAAAGAAGAGAGAGAGATATGGAGACAGAATCAAAGTTCAAGAGAATATGTGTGTTTTGTGGAAGTAGCCCTGGTAACAAAACCAGTTACAGAGATGCTGCTATCGAACTCGGAGCCGAACTGGTACAAATTTCAGTTCTTTCTTCTCCTCTTTTCTTTTTGCTAAAGGGTTTCTCTCTTCTCGTCTTCCTTTTTTCCTTTTTTTAGAATTTAATGTTTTCTTTATGATTTTTTTTTATATAGAATTTCGTTTTGAATATAAAAGAAAACTAGACTTAGAATCTGGGTTATCGAACTGTCTTATCTATTTGTCACAGTTTATGAGCAACCCCAAAAAAGCTCTGTTTTTTTCCTCTTCCTGTTTGAAAATAGTTGAAATTACAGTAAAACCTTTGGAGTTCCAAGTTTTGGGGAAGACTCATGTCTTATACCTACTTCTCCCATGATTTACGACTTAGAATTTGTTTTTTCATAGAAGTAGATTTTAAAACGGTAGAAAATCAAAACCATGTAAATAACATGTTTCATTGTATAAAATGTTTTGAGTTATTTTGTTAACTTGGATTATTTCAACATTATTACAAGTCTAAAACAAAAAAAATGTGGAGATAACTTATACAGTTTCTTAATCTCCTCGTATATAACCAAACCAAAGCATATATTAGCAAATAGCATATCAGAGAGAAGACTAGTGAACCTATTCGGATTATGGGTCCGAACAATTTATGAGCTGTGAGGTACATAATTTTTGGCTACGAAAAAATAAATTATTATGGAGTACTTTTTTGACGTCTTGTTCCTGAATATCAAATGTTATTTTTTCGTTAATAGCTAAATTATAAATGTTGGATCTCGAATTTTTTTTCTCGTTGACCAAATAAAAGTTGGGTTTACAAGTTGCTCGGAAACGGGTTTAATCAATTGACTTGTCGTTACTAAAGCATTTTAGCCATTTAGAGTTAGTGGAGTCAACTGTTCATCTATATAATTGCCCATTATCTTCTTTAGATGATATTTATTTGAAAGAATATTATCTTCAATTCGTACTTGCTGTGATCTGTGGTAGAAATTGTGATAGGAAAGCTCATAATTTTTTTTTGTTTTACCATATTTTTTTCTCATGTACTTTCGTAAGTACTTTTAACAGAAAATGTGATTTTGTTTTCACCTTTATAGTTTTTCTACAATATCTTTATCCACTACTAGTTGTATTGTTTTTTTTTCTTTTGTTCGAACATCTGTATTTTTAACTAGTTAACTATGACAACGACCACTAAATAAATACTGAAAATTGCTAAAATCGAATGTTTGTTTGTAGGTATCGAGAAATATCGATCTTGTCTATGGTGGAGGGAGCATAGGTTTAATGGGTTTGATTTCTCAAGCTGTTTACGATGGAGGTCGCCATGTCATCGGGTTAGCTTTTTTTTACATTTTCGAAATTTCGATTTTCTCTAGTCATTAAAAAGATAAAAAGAAACAATTATTAAAAATGGATAATTTAGGTCTACGTGTAGTATTTGAGACGTTTACTTTTTTTACCAACTTTTTTTTTTGTCTTGTTACTGTCTTCAGGGTTATCCCCAAGACACTAATGCCAAAAGAGGTACGTCCGAAATAAAACTCCAGAATAAACTTATTGTGTGTTGTTTTTTTCTTACCACTTTCATAGAACAAATAAAGAGTTTGAAGAAATTGGTGGTAGATAATTTAACATTAAATCAACCTCATAAATGTTATCTTTAAACGCGTATTTCATATTTGTCTTATACTAGAGAAGGTTTAATTCAGACAAAAGAGCCCCAATTGATTGGACGGCGATATTTTCATGTTTTATTATATACTAAGTTTTTTTCTGTTTTGAATAGTTAATTTGGAGTCTTTAGTTAGTTCAAACAATAAAAATAAAAGTCACCAATCATGGTGCTCAAAAATATGATTAGCTTTCTACGAAAGGGGTCAAAGTGATAAATGTAAGAGAAAAACCTCGAGAGACTAAATCATCATTACACATATCCTTTCTCACAACATAATGGGCTAATATATGATTGCACATTTTATTATTTTGGATTTGTAAATTACATGCTGCATCATCATCATTTAGTACAGTCGCAGATTTTATTATACAATTTTTGGAGGTATTGAACACCATAAAACAAGTGGTGTAAGTGTGTAAGAGTTTTGTCATTTTGTTTTGGAATATACAGGATACACACACAAGTGGTGTGAGGTAATAATAATAATAATTTGAACCTTTGTTCCAAAAAAAAATATAATAATAATTTGTAAATTGTAAATGTAAATAAAGATAACAGGAGAGACAGTGGGAGAAGTGAAGGCAGTAGCAGGCATGCACCAAAGGAAAGCTGAGATGGCTAAGCACTCTGATGCTTTTATCGCTTTACCTGGTTGGTTCCTTTCTTTTTCTTATCCACATTTTTAATTATAACTTATGGTTTTGTTTGATAAATTGTCCTTTTTTTTGAAAAATTGTTTGATAATTGTCTTGCTCTGGTGTATATTGTCTCGCTCGGTGTATATTGTCTCATGTGTAACTATTATATAAAATGATAAAAAAAGATAGCCGCATGGAAATATGGTACCACTATTTTAATTGTATCGCTATCTCTTATCATAATTTAATTTTATAAAAAGATTGTACCATCTTGTGTTACTAATCAATATATTCTTTATAATTCTAATTAGTAAATGAGATTTAATGTTTGCATATTCTATACACGTAGGTGGATATGGGACACTTGAAGAGCTTCTTGAAGTAATCACTTGGGCACAGCTTGGAATCCATGATAAACCAGTAATCATTTTGCCTCCATTTCTATTTACATTATATATAAATTAAGAATTAATGAATTCTTTATCTTATGACTTTTAATGTACAAAATGAATATGAAGGTGGGACTGTTGAATGTGGAAGGATACTACAATTCACTGTTATCATTCATAGACAATGCAGTGGAAGAAGGTTTCATTACACCAACTGCTCGTCATATCATTGTCTCTGCTCCTTCTGCTAAAGACCTTGTCAAGAAACTTGAGGTTCCTATTTTTTCTTCATCTTTATTTAACTATATTTTCTTATTAGAATTTTGTTTTAAATGTATTTTTTTGTTTTTAAAATCTAGGAATATGTGCCAAGGCATGAGAAGGTAGCTTCAAAGAAAAGCTGGGAGATGGAGCAAATAGGGCTTAGTCCTACATGTGAAATCTCAAGATGAAAGAGGACTAATTAATTTCCTTAATTAGGATAAGCCCAACTGAATGTTTCTCCAGATTGGGTTCCTTTTTATTGATATTGTAAACTTAGTCCCAGCAACCGGAAAAACAAAATTGACTTTCTTTTTTGTGTAGTTGATTCTGTTGTTTAATGTATTTTTTTTTTTAGCTTTCTATTCCAGAAAAGAAAAGACAAAATATGTTTTGTTTTGTAACTTGTAAAATGTTCCCACGAACAACTCAATCTTCGGGGTTTACTTTTGTTGTTAACGAACTTAAATTGAGTTATTTTTCCTTCTTCTTTGAAGTTCTTTTTATCGTGAACTTGTTTTTTTTTTATGTTGGAACATATGATGAACCAGTTGTTTTTTTATTTTGTTTTTATGAACTTGTAGACTTGTAGGTGTAATTATAGTTAACTAAATTTGATTAATATATGATAATTTGATGGAAAATTTAAGAGTTACACAACTCATAAGTCTTAGAACCATTTGAAACCGTTAAAACCAAACCATTATGTGATACGCATTGAACCGGTAAAATCAGACACTCAATTTCAAAGTTTTTTTTTTAGTCAACGTTTCAAGATTCTTTTAGTCAGAAAAGTTGGTACATATACTTGTTTTTGCTGTATACATTTTACACGTAAGAAACTATTATTTTGTTCATCCAAAATTTTATAATTGTCCTATATATTAAATAAAAGCTATTTCAAAATATATTAATAGCTATTTCAAAAACTTTTGTGAAGCTATTTATATAGTATAATAATGTAAAGTTAAAATTTATACTAATATGGTTTTTGTCCTTTACATGTTACAGTAAAACAAATTATGTAGTTACAGTAAACATATAACTGCATAATTAACAACAAAAGAAAAGAAAAACTAAGCCCTTTTTTTTAAAAAAAAAGAAAAAATTCATTCGACATTCTTATATCTTAGTTATCACTCTCAAATTTAGTCCAATCATGGTTCATGGATATGCATGGATCTATGGCATCACTCTCAAATTTAGTCTATCTAAGTTTTGCTACAAAACGTTGGAACCTCTAATTATTACATATACATAAGTCATAACGGATTAAAAATTGTGTGACCGTAGAATTTTCAACAGATTTTGTTACTATGATGAGAAATTTAATGCTACGTACTCACGTGTTAAACAGATTCAGATTTTAAACAGTTTATATAGAATCACGTTTTGAAGAATACGTCCGTATTTTAGTTGTGAATCAAAGTTGTGTGTAACTCCCTGGTTTTCTAAACGAAATTAATTTTCCTGACCAAAATCGGTTAAGTTTTTTTTCTTTTCTTTTAATATTTTTTTCTTTTTTGAGATATAATAAAATTATTTTATGATAATGTTAATCTTATACTTATCAAAATGTTAATATTTTTTTATAGAAGATATTTCCTTATTCTATTTTCTTCTAAATAGATATGAACTTCTTCATTTTTCATGGTTATTCCTAACTTTATGTACAAGTAACCTTTATGTATAAATAGAGTCTTGTCCATTCATAATTCTCAAGTTTCAGAGAAGCAGAGAAACCTTAAACCCTCTTTTCTTTTCTTTTTTCTTGTCCGTCAAACTCTTTCTCTCTGCTGCCTTCTCTCTCCTTATCATCATGATGTCTTCCTCCTCTTCCTCGCCGTCCGACGAGTAGCCTCCCCTATGCAGCCTCTAGCCTGGTCCCGTGGAAGCTCCTCTTCCATCCGTCCCGATGCTAGAGCACTGCGGCTTCTCCCTGTTTAGAGGCCCGCCTAAGACGATGCCACTGCACCCCTCTACATACCGTCGCCACTTCACCGCTTGCCAAAGTGAGAGGTCAACCCGGCGTGGCTGGAAGCATGCAGCCGTCTTGCCCAGTTCCCTTCTTCTTACCTCCCCTCTCCTTACCTCTCCTCTCTTCCTTCGCCACTTAGGGCAAGGTGAGAATGAATCTATTATGCTCCTTCTGTTTTTTTTGGTTTTCCATTACGCCTAGTTTTGAGTTCAACTAAGCATACTTAGTTCCTGCTTTAGAACTGAAGTCCAAGTAAAGTCTAATATATTAGGGTTGTTTGATTGTTATATGGATCATCTAGTTGAGTTTAGTCTTAAAACTAAAGTTGCAAGAGATTTAAAAATATTTATTTATGCTATCGCGCCTTGTTTCTTTGATTGTTGTGTGGTCTTCCTACTTGAATTGTTTGATCACCTAGAACTTGTACAGAGGGTAATATGTTTGGCTCTATAGCGCAGACGGTTATCTTGACATTACTTGTTCGATTGTGTGATCGGGATCGGGTGTAATCGAACCGGCAATATCAAGATAATTGTTTGCATTTAGAGCCAAATGTGTTGCCCTCTTTACAAGTTCTAGGTGAACCACACAACAATCAAACAAACAAGGTATGACAAGCATACATAAATATTCTTTTTAATCTCTTGCAACTTCAGTTTCAGTAATAAACTCAACTAGATGATCTACACAACAATTACACAACCCTAACATATCAGACTCAAGTTGGACTTCAGTTATAAAGCAGAAACTAAATATGTTTGGTTTAACTCAAAACTGAACGGAAAACAAAAGCACAAAAGAAGTAGAATATATTCATCCTCACCTTGGTTTAGGTGGCGAAGGAGGAAAGAGGAGGTAAGGAGAAGTAAACTCGGCGAGACAGCTGCATGCTTCCAGCCATGTCGGGTTGACCTTGCGCTCCGGCGAGCGACGGCATGCCAAGGGGCGAGGTGGTTTCTGCTTCGATGGGCCTCCAAACGAGGGAGAAGCTGTGATTATCTGGCATTAGGACGAGTGTAAGAGAAGATTCCTTGGGATCAGGCTGGAGGCTGCATATGCGGGGGCTGCGCTCGTCGGATGAGGAGGAAAAGGAGGAGGACATCACAGCAAGGAGAGAGAAGGCGGTGGAGAGAGAGAGAGCTCGGCGGCCAAAGAAAATAAAGGAGGGAGGGCTTTAAGGTTTTTCTACTTCTCTGGAACTTTAGAAAGAAAATTATGAATGCAAAAAGCTCTCTATTTATACACAATGGTTAGTTATGCACAAAACCAGAGATAACCACAAAAAATAAGAAATCCATGTCCATTTAAGAAAAGATAATGATATACAAATATTATCTCTTAAAAAAAGTAATATATATTTTAAAAAATGATACCGATTATATCTCAAGAGAAAGAAATATTGAAAGAAAAAGAATTAAAAAGAAATACTGAAAGAAAATGAATTAAAACTTAAACTGTTCTAAATCAAAAAAAAGATTAACGATCCCAGTTTGAAGAATCGGGACGTTACATTCTAGCCCGTCACCAATGCCTTTGAACTATTCTCTTTTTTTAGATTAGCTCACTAGCTAATTAAGACCCAATGATTCTCAACATATGATCCATAACATGCTTCAGACAAAACTTCTTCCATCATCGACAACAGACACCAACGATGCTTTGCAACCTAATTTAGAAACCCAAGATGCAACGTATAATCTCCGTTTGCTGAAAGAGAATGTGATTTGTTAGTGATGGGTTTAGCACCCCTTGCTAAAAGCCCTTCATAAATTGAGATAAAGCCCATTTGAAACCTTACCTTCGTCTCCGTAGTTAAGTCGGCACTCAAATATGGAAATATCCGAGGATATATTCGAATCGCGGAAGAAAAGGAATGAGAACCCCGCGAAAAAAGAAAATTATCCTAATCCCGAAGGAGAATGATTAATTTCAAGGCGGTCTGCGAAGGCTATATAAGAAGAGCCCCTCCCTCGAAGATCATTCATTCACAACTTCAAACTCGAAACCTAGGGCAAATAAGAGCTTACTGCTTCCTGTTCTAGATCTCGGTTCTTTACTCCTAAAATTTAGGTCGGCGTTCTTTTCCGACGACCTAAATCTCTTGTACTCTTCGAGCTCCGACTAAATTCAATAAAACTATATCTTTTGCCCCCACAATCTTTATATTTTCTCTTAGGGAGATATATAGATCTTACAATTGGCGCTGTCTGTGGAGAACAAAAGATACAAGTTCGTCTACTCACGCCGGAACTCGAAGATGTCCACGGAGAAGCGATCCACCGACAATACCACCGACGATACGATCATCCAACCACCCGCCCAAAATCAGGTCGGGAACAACCCCAGGATACCGCAGACCGGACTGGGCTCCACCCCTCTAGAGCCTGGTGGCAGTTCAAACGTCCAACAGCACGGGACGACCGACGAGACCGACCTTCCGCCAGCCTGGAGCTCCCTCAACACGACGGGCACACTCCCGCCCCCTCCACCTCCACCCGCACCAACGGACATCACCACCATCCTACAATCATTCATGGCACAGATGGACAACAAGATGAACGAGCAGATCGGGGCTCTCAAAGCTCAGCAGGTCGCGTACCTTGAGACACTACGGGAGTCCCGACCTGAATCTCCACCACGGGATACAGACGACACCGAGACCGGCACTCCCAGAGCCATCCACATACCCCGGGCATCATTGCATCCGGAGCCAAGCGCCTAATCTTCGGCAAAACACCCACCCCAGCACGGGGCAGCGAGGACCAGTACGTGAAGGATTCCAGCGCGCGGTCTAAGCACAAATCCCGCCTGTCCTCCCCGGACTCTACCTCCCACGAGACCCCCGCGCAAGCCGAGATTACCCGGCTCCACCAGAAAATCAACAAAATTAAGTCGCAGGTTCATAACGCAACGAGCTCGGCCCCCGAGCTCGAACAAGTCCTGAAGCTCACTCAGCAGACACCGTTCGCCGAATGCATCACTCGCGTACCCCTACACGACACCGTGAAGCTCCAACTCCCAGCGTCGTTTGTCGGCAACACAGACCCACAGAAACATCTCATGACCTTCAACAACGCCATGAACCGTGCCCGGTTCTCATCCGAGGAACACGACGCTTCCCTCTGCCAATACTTCGTGGAGTTCCTAGCTGGAAACGCACTCCAGTGGTTCTCCAAACTCTGACCATACTCCATCGAGACGTTCGCCCAG